TATATAGCGGCTAGCCGCTACTCTTGCAAAAAAGGAAAGAACCGCAAAATCACGCGATTTTGCATAACGGGATGCCGTTATTGCAATACTTTCGGCTGACACGGACCGACCGACACCCTATCTTAAGTTTGTTCGCGGACGTTACAAACCCTTTCTGTATATCCTATACATCAATGATCTCCCTTCGGTGATTAAGTCCAACCATATCTCAATGTACGCTGACGACGTTAATGGCATTAGTATCTCCTAAAACGGACTTGGATAACTTGGCTTTTTAGAAATTTGTGTTACAACCCACTTATGTCTTTGCCTCTTTATGAATATAGATTGCTTTTGGTTGCCTTATCGTCACTTGAGAAACCCCGATTTATGCTCGGTGTTTCCTTCTTGAATAAGTACAAAAGGGTAATATGGATTCGTCGATATTGCTTGGGGAGATAAACTTTAGTCTCTCGAAGTATTTCGCTAGGAACTTTATTTCCGTGAAGCTTAGTCAATTATTATTAAGAATTTTTCAATGTTTTTAGAGTCCGTTGCAAAAATGTTACCTATAGTTTATTCTCAATAACGGATTCTCTAAATTCTCTCAAAACAATTTTCCCCAATACTCGTGTTTTGCCTACGTCTAGATAAGCTGCTAATCTTGATATATTTTTGGAATTCGAAAAATGAATTACATTTTCTGGTTCTTACCGGTTGCCAAGCTGTTATATGTTGTGTGCTAGATGTGTACATGTTTTTTTCCATAATGTATGTAACATCCAAAAGAAGCTACAGAGACCCTATAAGATATATATACTCTTGATCAGCTTGAGATTCCGAATTGATTTAACCATGTCGGTCCGTCTATGTGGTGTTCGCTGTTGGCACTCTCCTGATCACAAAAATGTAGACATCGACTTCAAATTTGGTAGAAACATTGGAAGCCCTTGCATGCATGTTAGTATTGAAAATAGGCCCATTTGGCTAAATTAGTCAGAGCAAAAGCTGTTAAAAGATAAAATGCTCAATTTCTCCACATTTACTTTGCGAAACACTCTACTCTTTACTCGTAAAAAATGCGAAAAATCGGCCATGCCGATTCACATTTTTAGAGTTTTATGTTTTTTTTACATTAGTCAAACAAGGCAGAGTATTGAAAATTATTTTGTACATTCCTCAAACGAAGATATATTATCTGCCTAAAAATGGATTAAATGACGATTTGGTGGACTAATTTTTTCTTATTAATACTAGCGATATGTGTATTAAATCAAAGAACTTGGAGAGAAGACTGCAAAAAGCATAGTAGTGAAATTCTTCTCCCGCCGTTTATAACTTTCTTACTTGTATTTTCTTTGCTCTCTTTATTGATAAATGCATTTTATTCCCTTTTTTTTCTTTAAAAACTTTCAAGTAGTTATTAACAATACTTAGCATAAGATTTATTTCTAAAAGTCAATTGAATGCATCTGCTAATTAATTTTGGCTAATATCGTGTTTAAATAAAATAGATATAAAAATAAATATTATAGTTACGCAAATATATAGCGTACAAATGCCCTTTTGTCTCATTTACCTTATGATTAATAAGCACAACCTCAAAAGGAAAAAATAAAATTTAATCACTTGTAAGTTTATGCAGGCATGGCTGATTTCTTCTATTTCGAATGCAAAGAGTGAAATGTTTCGTAACTGTAAGTGTGAGTGTAAAGTAAATGCCGAAAATTTCATCCCTCTAACTTTTATAATTTCTGAGTAACGAGCAAAAACCGACCAATTTTTTTAAGAAAAGCAAAGTTGCGTTCAGTTTACGCTCCACTGCGGGCTTTTGCTCTGAGCAATGTAGCCCGTTTTCAATACCAACCTGCGTGCAAAAACTTGCAATGTTTCTACCAAATTCGAAGTCGACATTTTCATTTTTGCGAAGAGGAGAGCGCCAGCACCAAACACCACACCCCATACAGACACACAGACGGATAGGAATGGGTTAATCGATTCAGGTTTTCACGCTGTTCAAAACTATATACATTTGATAGGGTCTCTGAAGCTTCCTTTTAGGAAGAAAAACAAAATGAGTACGTATATATATACCGTCATCCTTCAGTGATGAGTATAACAAGAAGCTAGAAAATAATGCAAAAGCACAGCAAGGAACTTATTCTCCACGAAGCAAGAAGTTGTTGAGAGGTATCACAACGAATAAAATCCAATACAAGCAAAATTAGCAAAGAAGGACAAAAAAATTTGCGACAGCGCCAAGTACTGAGCGCAAAAACAAGATGATATTAACACTCAAAAACAATTTGATGAACTACAAGTAAAATTCCACAAAATTTTGCAATTATTTAGGTTGTGTTAAAAATTAAAAATCATAAAATACAAAAGAATGTACAAAATTTGCCAAATTTAATTGACGTTGTTTTCTACTTTAGTAGCAGACACGAGTTATAGGTTATTGAGGTAAATGAATGACAATTGCGGCTTTTCTGGCGCATAATCATATGCAGATTTAATATATAAAGCTTATGGAGTAAGCATTATATATTTCTGAATGTTACGAATGAAAGGAAATTGTCAATGATAAACGCCAAATAAACCTGAAAATATGTAAATAAAAATATTAAATGGATAAAAGTAAAAAATAATAAATAAGCTTGAAGCTAATTGTTTTATTCTTAGCTCAAGCACAACTACAAAAGTATTTGAGTAATATTCTGCAATTTGAACTTCTCTCAAACGACTGGAAACTGATTACATATATTTCAGTTAACCGGTTCTCCTTTGAACGGCGTACCCTAAAAGCCATTTTTTTGAGACTTATATGTAGCTTTCGTCCCATAATGGGGAAATAGGGGGTATATATGACGTTTGTTTATTTACAATGATACAATCGATAAGAAAATCACGCAAACATAAATAGAAGGAAAATTACGTCAAATTTGTGATAATATTAAGTTAACTGATATAATTTTATGTAATTCATATAATTTCATATTTTCATTTCGTAGTAAGCCTTTGAATTTCGAACATGAATTTTAGATGTTAATATATTTTACATAATATGTTGACATATTAACATATGAATTTACTTATAAAGAGTATATAATGTTTTAAAGTGAAGTGTAAATCAACTCAACCTTTGCATTACATAAGTAAAACCCAGCTTTTTAATTTTCACATAACATCGTAAAGCAGATTTATTCTCTACATTTTTTATTTCACTATAAATTCGATTTGAAAGTGCAGAAAATACGCCAGTTCTTATTTCTTCACTTATTCGCCTCAACTGGGAGACCTCTAGCAAAACGTGTAGACCGTCGACAGCATCAGATGCGGGAGCTGCAGAAATTAATTTCTGAATTTCCGGATTTTGCATTTTATAGTCCACGCAAATGTTGTGAAGGTGTGCACAAACATGCGCAAATTTTCCCATCTTCCTTGAATTGTATCTGCTTTTCCGCTCTTCTATTAAAATACGCCATCGACCTTGAAAAATATAAAAGCTTTGTTTATATTTTTGAAAGAGGAATTTAACACTAACTTTTATATACATCAATGCATCTCTCAACAATATTCTTCGCTTTGCAATGTATATCATTGCTTTTCCGTTTGATGGAATCAACTGGAGTTCTGTACGGCGTCATTACCCACTACTCTAAATTACTGTTATTGCTTACCAACGAGCTAACCATTAGTTTGATTTTTAACCCAATGGTCTTCGGGACAAGTTCTTTTATTGAAATGTCTCCACATATGCTTATCGTGCCTTCATTAGGGGAATCTGACGTTTACTGCAATAATATTCATATATTCTTGTGCAACAACGTGTCACAATTTACTTATCAGCAGAAATACAAAATTTTCTATAGAGCCACCCTTTTGTGTTGGCTTTAATACCGCACCGAATCCATTTCACGCAAAGGTTTTTTTCCCATTTCTGTTATCATACGTGATACAACAACAGAAATAGCGGTCTGCATAATGCTTAAATAAAAATCGCTACCCTCTAGGCATTGATAAGTTCTAGACAACGTCTCCAAAGTAAGGACTAAACGAATGACTGAAAGCAAATAGGTTCTCCTTACAATAGTCCCACCAATTTTTCTTCAAATGTATTGAAAAATCTAGGTATATTAATATGTATGTTTTAATTTATGTTGTTGACAAATGTATGAAACCATTTAGCTTTTCGGGCAATGTAAGTGGATTTAAAGCATCCCGCAAAAATTTTCTACGTCTTAAAAGATTTCTTTTCTATCCATGTCGATGTTCTTCTCCTGCTACATGACATATTATGACAAAAGGAGCCATTCCGCCAAATGTGTGTGTATATCTCAACATTACTTGATTATTTAATAACATCTTACTTACTTTTTTCTTGTTTTGTTTAAGCGATAAGACCAATATATCCAGTAGAATTATGAGTTTTTATTATTTTCTGCCTCGTTTCGATTTATTGATGATAGCGAAAGTATATGATGCTGCATTGAGAGATTGATGTTACACAATTGATTACAAGCTTTAGCGAATTAAGACACAAATTTAAATTTTTTTGTTTTGTTTCAGCTGTTTGTAAAGAAACAGTTTTGTTTGGAATTTATTCTATTCCATACTAACCCAAAGTCAGAGCAATTAGGCCTGTTTTGACAATTTTGAGAACGTTTGCTCGCACCTCTTGGGCATACAAACAGCAAAAAAATCGAAACTTGAAAATGAAACTTAGTTCACGCCATATATAATCAGTGCTTTGATAAGAATACAAACTTATGTAAATGGAATGACGATAATGAAATTATACGAAAATATATTATCTGAAAGCAAGAAGCAAGTAATAAAAACATGAAGTACCACCTCACCCATGAGTACGGATATAAAGCGCAAATTCAACCACGGTCGCTTCATTAGCATAAATAAGTGTAAACTGGCAATATACTTTTGAAAAGGTGATTAAGAGATTTAAGATAAAAAACTTAAGATTATTACGAAATGATAGATACAATGATTTGGTCAGGAATTTGAATCGAAGTGATGTTTTAAGTGCTGTGAATGAAGTACATACTAATTCGATCTATTGTTAAGAAATGCACTGAACGTATAAAAATAAACGTTATTCCGTAAAAGACTGTTATGAAAAAAGACAATTATTTATTTGTTTGTGAACCTTGTGTAAACGTGTGTGGGTAGAATTGAATTATAAGCAATTTGTGTTATAACTAAAGACATTAACCGCAATAGTGTGAAAAATAATGTTTGGTGACAAATCAATATTCAGTGAAAAGATTGGCTTCTGTTGTTTCTTCTCAAACGGGCTTCCTTTCAAAAGACTAACGCTCGGAAGGGAAAAGTCTATTATGCTTACATTATTAAATATTTAGTTATGTAATATTTTGTGACACGTTGACAAACTACAATACCTTCATTACACACAACAAATTATTTGTGTAATAGAATTGCATAAGTTCATGGGACATACCATTAATTCGGAGTAGGGGATGCTTATACACTTGTGTGTAGTTTTATGCGTTTGCAGAGACCTATTATGCTAAAAAAATTGCATATATATCAGAAGCGTATGTAGTTAGTGATATTATATTAAATAATATTATGTTTGTATGTTGTATATATATATATATATATATATGTATGTTTGTATGCATTTTGACGACGATCAGATCTTAAAAAGATTTCAAACTGCAAAGCTTAACTTAGGAAGTCAGCTGCGGGAAAGTCTTAGTAACCAAAATGAAATCTCGTTCTAGTGTATATATGTGCGCTAAATAAATGGTGCAGTTTGGAATTTTTCGACTAAGGAAATGTTCAAAGCCAATTTTGAATTAGACATCTAATGTATTTATTACGCCTTGTTTGAATATTAACTTTACAATGGGAGTATTAATTACTTTGAAACAAAACATGAAATGAAAGTAAATGCTAAATGAGTAATCAAACGAAAACACCTTATTAAATCTATTCAATATTATCAGTTTTCGCAAGTCGACGTGGATGTGCTCATACTGAAGATTTTTTGGTCCCCACCTCCGCTGAAAACCGTGCTTTCAAATTTAAATGATGGATACTTATACCAACAAACGATATGAATACACAACCTAAACGTCTAGGTTAATTTTAATATCTTTTTAATTAAAATGCACTTTTAATGAAAGATAATGTGTAAACTGTACCTATTGTAATTAGTCAATGCTTTTTAATTCTGATATTCATCAAAGAACAAAGAGATTCTCTAATTTCGTTGTTTGTTTCACTTCAGGAAGTAGTTAACACTCTCGTCATACTTTTTTTGTTCGATTTAAGCGTGCCTCTCTGCCCTGTGTGATTGCAACTACAAAAATTAAACTTAGCAGAGAATTTGTCGTAGTTTTGCTTTAACTTATGGAATGTAAGTAATTTGAATATATTTAACAAGTGGATTTTTCGAAACTAAAAGTAGCAATTACTAGGTTATTTGAAGGTGGATTTCAATTCGACTTAAAAGTTTGTGTGAACGTGAAAGGCTCGCTCTATTGTAAGAAAGTTCTGGAAGTTTTTTATGATTTTGCCAAAAACTATTTAAATGATTAAGTGTCCAATTTTCGAGAATCTTATCAATATACGCCAAATGGCTTGTTATTTCAAAATATATTCGTAAGTTTGAAGAAAAGAGTTTGTTTACATTTGTGGAACACATCTAACGACTTTGTCCTCCAGTTTTATCGCGGTATTAGAATGACTGTTTAGCTCTATTTTTAAGAATGGCGTTTTGTAAGGTCAAGCCTAGATTTCCTTTTGTTTAATTTTTAGATTTTTCTACTATGCTTTATACTTAGAGCTATTGAAGCTTCGGGCTTTTTCTAGAAAAATAGTATTCTAAACGAAATCAGTTAATCCTTTCTCAAATGACAAAAGTGAAACTTTGTTTTGAAACGAGCTCCTTTAGAAATTTGACAAGTCCTCTTCTGTTAGTTTGTTAGCAGATATTTTATCAGAAATTAATGAGAGCAAATTATCCCCAAACTGACTTCAATTCAATTTCAAACTCCTACGCAACTTCCGTTTGTGGTCTTATTAACGAGAGTTGGTTTTGGAAATATCTCCAAAAACGAATTTATTTTGAGGGACAAAGAAGGTTTAAAACGACGGATGGATTAATTGGGTCTAATTGGCTCAAGACTCTTTTTTTTCTTTAATGCCTCATCATCCAGTTCGGGGTTGTTCTTGGACCTAAAGGTTGTCAAGAAATGTTATAGGTGGAGTAGGGTAACGTTTATGTAAGCTCGACTTGAAACTGGGAACATCTGAAATAGCAGCAAAAACCATTGTGTGTGGGCTATTGCTAAAGCTAGCATACGTCTCTAGATTTTTAATGTGTGTTTTTTTCGTGAACGACATGCTTTCTTCGATTGCTAAGGCTATAGCTGCCACCGCAAAACTCTCTTGAATATTGTCTTCACAGAGGTTCCGAGGTAGCAAAAAGGGAAGATGAAGAAAAGTAGTCTCGCACAACTATAAGATTAAGACAGGTGCGTTGTATGCAACTTTGTTATTCGCATGGATGCAGCATCTTTGGTGAGCAGTCTACCCTACCTGTTTCGTTCAAAAGCGATAAATGGCACTCATATATATAAAGTCTAGGCAGTGGTAGGCTTCCCATAGAACCCGAAATCCCGAATCGATGGCAATGTGGCAGAAAGCTTTGAAACAGAAAGTAACCATCACACTTCTTGCGCTATCAGAAAAATAAGGAAAGATTTCAGCCAAACTTTTGCGGATCATGCGGCCCAACTCAGTTAGCTCCAGGTACAGTCTCGTCGACGTGCAGACCTCTCCTTAATTGAGGGCTATTATTGAAAGGAAATATCTCTAAGTCCACGGTGCTAGTTACATTCCTCTGGCAAGACAAAATCCTCATCAGCTTAATGGCAGGTACAACATGATATTTTTGTAGAAGTACTACAGCATCGCCATAAAACGCGCGTTCAAGTTTTTGTACATTTACCTGCAATAGGACGAGTAATGAGCAAAACTCCAATTTTTAATCCTTTCGCAAAATACGGCTACTCTCAGGGCTATTATACGTACCGCTGTGGGCGTGCTCTCCAACCGATTTGGCCCATTTTTAGTACGAACCTCCTTGTAAGGATTTTTCCGGCCAGGAGAATGTTTACAACCAACTTGACACAGACGGATAGACGGACATGCTAATATCGTTTTAGAATTTGATGCTGATCAAGAATATATATACCTTGTGGGATCTCTGATGCTTCCTTTTGGGCGTTGCACACATTTTGGAGAGTTTTAGTACATCGTTTCGATCAAAAATGGACCCTGAATCTGAACGATTCATTACCTGTTGGCTTTGCGAACGCTTTTGTCATGCGAAGTGCGCAGTTATCAATGCCCGTGCTGCAGATGCAATCCTTGATTCTTCAAAGGGTTTATGTTAGTCATGTTCCGGTTGTAGGAAGGGAGATTTTGACTTTTATAAGCTAGACACGGAAACAAAGATTGGGTTCTCTGAACTAAGCAAAAACCTTGTTACTTTGTGTGGGAAGTTTGAGACAATCAAGTTACTGGTCGATGAGTGTCGCCATCTAGAGCACTCATCTTCTCCCCCCATCCTGCACAAGACCGACTCGTAATATAGCGTGTGGTACTTCAACTATATTTGATCCGTCGACTCCTGTAAGTGCTTCTTCCCTACAAAGAATGTTAGCGTTTCCGTTATTGCTGAGTGGGCCGCTAATAAAAAACTTTCAAATAAATTGGGAAGCCCAGGTTACTTTGTGTACATCCTCAAAAAACATTAATAAAAATAACAAATCCGTCCCTCTCTTTGGCTGTTCGGGGGTGTGTGCTGGTGACCATGTTGGGCAAGTCGTACAAGCTGCACATGCAAGTGTGGTCAACCCCTCTGTACACTCGCCAACTCAAAACTCTCTATCTACAAATTCTATTGATTTTAGTAGGGACGGCGAGTGCTTGCCGGTAGTACCCCCCAGAAAAACAAGATTCGTATCAACACTGGCGGCTGACGCCTCTGTTGTATAATCTAAAAAGTTATCTGGCTACAAAACCCCTATCCACAATTTGAAGCGTGTAAGCATTTTCAGATTGGTTCCATCTCAATCTAGAACTATCTCGTCTTTTAAAGTGTTGGTTACGACTGAATATATGGAAATTTTGTTACATAAACTATTGTGATCAGTTGGATCCTTAATTAAGAAATTCATTCCTCGGGATCAACCCCATATTCGCTTTACTTTCCTGAATTCAGTGAGCACGGAATTTTGTTGTTCACTAAAACCTGGTTACAACTTAATTCATTGGAAGTTTATCACAATTCTTCCCAGATTTTCAGAAAGGATCAATTGGATAGTATTGGTGGTGATGTTTTCATTGCCATCTCTGCTGCAGTTCTGTCCTATTCAACTGAATTTCCCACTCCTCCCGCTGTTCACCTTTTAGTTTACCTGCGAGTTCGTATCATTAATGAATTTGTATTTCCTTTTATTGCAAGCATGATGGTCCCTTGAACTACTCTAACGTGTTGAATTCAACTTCCTCCAATAAATATTATGATTTTAAGAAAACTAATATTTTATTGCTTAAATCTCTTCTTTCACACATTATGCTTGATTTCTCTACTAGAAATATTAAAACCTTCGTTCTATAATGCATTAAACCTAGCTATTTCTGCAACTATTCCGATCAAGCAATCTTGCCCTCGAATAAAGTGTCGGCTATGGTTTAACAAGATTGTTAAATATTGCAAAAATATGAAAAACAAACTTTTCAAAATATTTATAGAAAGTGGTTCTGCTTATGACTATTTCTCCTACTATGTTGCAAGGCATAAATTTAATTGGCTCTTCTACTAATGTTATTGCAGATGCCTTTCGTTGATAAAATTCTCATTGCTTGCTAATTCTAAATATTTTTTTACGTTTGTTAACTATAAAAAAAAAAAATCTCGACATATTCCTCGCATGGATCTTTTCATGGCATCGAGCCCTCTGGTGGCGTCGAAACCTCAAATCTCTTTGCTGAGTACCTCCGACGAAATTTTTCAACTGCTGGTTCCGGTTTAACTGATAACTAACTCGATTTTCATTTCTAAGCTGTACTTGGTTGGTTTAAGGACTTTAGAATACAGTTCTGTGATGGGATTCCATCCTGTATGGTTAAAACATGCTTTGTCGAGCTATGTGGTGTTATGTCAATGATTTTTAATCCAGTGACATTAAATCCTTGTTTTCCCTTTCTGTTGGAAGAAAAATTTCCTTATGCGACTTTATAAATATGCACCAGCCAAGTACCCATTTTATTTAGTTTATACATTAATGATCTCCCATCAGTGATTAATTCCAGACAGACCTTAATGTACGCTGATAATGTGAAACTGTTCTTTTCCTTCTCTCTAGAATCGCAATCACATCAAAGTGATTTGAATAATTTGGTTGCATGGTGCTCTTTGAATCTTCTGAAACTAAATCTAAATAAATGTAAGAAGCTTTCTTTCTCAAGAAAAAAGTCATTCATTACTCAGTATTTCATTGATTCGCATAAGTTGGAG